AATGTATTACAGGGCCCAATTGCTTCGGGTCACCGGCAAGGATCAGTTGTTTGCCTTTCTTTAAGAGAGCAATGGCGCAACAAGCCTCAGGCTCTCGAGCTTGAGCAGCCTCATCGATAAACACCACGTCAGGATGGTGTATCCTAAAAATAAATAAAATGTAAAAAAACACGCTATTATGAAGGTAAAAAAACACTCTATTATAGTAGATAAACTAGTGATGGGTTGTTATTTAACTATCTGTTATTTTATAACAATTATTTAGAAATAACATAACACACAACCGTTACTACTTATAAAAAATAACAGATATAAAATAACGACACGCAGAGATCGACCTTCGTGAAACGAAGTCGGCGCTCTGCACCGCCACGAAATTCGATGCTGCTCGAAGCAATTCTAAAAAACAACTAAGATGGAAAACATGTTATTTCGACAACCATCGATACAGGCGGCGAGATACAACGGACAACGGAGTGGGGTATGCGCTACAGCGCAGCGCGACGAACGTAGCTGCATCGGTCGATGCCGTCGATGGTCGGGCTTGCAACAGCTTAAAAATAATAGGATATAAAAGAAGCAGCTTTTTTGAAACAGTTGCGGGCATAACGTCTGGCGGTCGAGATAACAGGAGTGGGAAAGGAACGCTGCGGCATCGGTCGATTGTCGATGGAGGTTCGAAACAGGTTGGAGAATAACGCATCAGTTGTTTTAAATACATTGTTTTTCAACCTGTTACGAGCATAACGGGCGGAGGTCGAGATATTATGGCGCTGTATGTTTCAGTACGTTATTAAGTTTCAATATTTAGGTATTTATTTATTGTGAAAACTTTTCAGAATAATATTTTAAGATTTTTTAAAAATGTGTACAGGGTGTTTTGAAAAATCTGGTCATTGATTAATCACGATCCTGCTTAAAGCCCTTGACGTAAAAAGCTGATCTTTAGAAAACCGATCGACTTTAGGGTGTAGAGGTTCGATAAGAAGGGATTTTTCGAAACTCGAATTCTAAGGGGGTGAAACCACCCTCAAATATTAGAATATTTTTTTTATTTAAAAACCGATGAGTTTTTCGGAAAAACTCTTAAAGGCGTATATTTTATTTTGTTGTTTTACATATTTTAAGATTTTTAAAAATATATACAGGGTGTTTCATAAAATATGACCATTGAGTAATCACGATTCTGCTTAAACTATAACTTACAATATTTGTTATTTAAAAAACGGTTAGTATTTCGGGAAAACGCTTGGACACGCATAATTTATTTTGTTTTTTTTTACATATTTTGAAATTTTTAAAAAATCATACAGGGTGTTCCAAAAAGTTGAGTAATTGATTAACCACGATTCTGCTTAAACTGCTCGACGTTTAAAGCTTATTTTTGGCAAATGTGAGAAAATTTTATCCAGTTTGTATCTTAATGGAAAGTCTTGCTTTGTTTTATCATCACCATTACAAACTATTAATTCGGTAACTAGTAATGCGGGTACACGCTAGTTTAAGTGTAAAATTAATTCGAACTCTAGTGTGTAGTTGGTTTACTTATGAAGAATATACTACACATTTTCTTATATTGCTATTTTTTGACCGCAAATGGTAAAATCATAACTAAGAGCTTCTCGCCCGTCGAGTGAGATGCACTCTGTACACTGCTATACAGTTCATGATCTACGCGGATCGGGGGGCAGGGCGTAGGTAGATCGGAATGTATAGGTATAGACGAGCATTTTGGCTTTTTTATATCGCAATTTTTAAACAGGGGCTTATTTGTAAACAACGACCGTTTTTAGAGAGGTATTTTAGATAACAATCGATATTTAGAAATGTTTTGACACCCTGGAAATACTACCACCCAGCACGTCATTGTTGCAATTTGCAACTGCGTTAATACGCCTGGTGGTGACCGCCTCATACTCTTTCAGATATTTAGCAATAAAATAAAGAAACCTGTTATTTTTAAGCTGTTTTTTATAAATAAACATAACAGTTTCAACTGTTATCTAAAAATAACAGTTTTGCCCATCACTAAGATAAACCTAAAAATGCAACGTAATATTTCAGTATCAATCAAGATTATCTAACACCGGTAGAACGTTATAAGTTATTTATTTGTGATATCTATGGCTCGTATATTCACATTATTAAGAGTCTATTACACTGTATTTTCGTGTCGGTCTCAGGGGTCGGGTAAAGCGGGTGTGTGGCTGAAGGAAATATATATTATATTTCAAAAATCTGCCTAAGACTAAGAGCAAAATTTCCAAACACACGTGCTTTGATTAAGGTTTGCATAGCTTCAGCATTTGCCATAAAATAGCGAGCAATTTGTTACAAAACCATATCAATTATATATCACTGTAATCACGAAACTTCAATCTATTTCCGTATTCTAACGGAATTTTAAATTATGTCATTATTTTCGAGAAAATTTGGTACAAACATAAGGTATATTTTGTTGACCTTTGACCATCAAAATCTTAAAAATAAAAAAGTTGTCTAAAAATGTGCTACAATACGGATGTAGTATAATCCTTTATCTTTAATTTCCTTCTTCATTTGTGTAAAAATACCTATCCAGTTTTACATAAAACGTTAAATGCCGAACGCTTATTTTGCTACTTTTTCGGACTAGTGAAATGGACTCTTGTAGAATGTAGAATGTTTAGAAGGGGAGTTAATCACCGCGACCTTATAGATCTATTGTGTGTTCCCCTTTCTTGAGTTATAACGAGTTATAACTCATCATACAGTCTCAGGGCTTTAAGAAAAGCCAGTATCTGAGACGGCTCCACAGAGGCCAGCTCTCCATCCTCGACATCAGACGTGCCAAGGTTCATGGCACGAATGGTCGTCGTCTCGGCACACTCAGTGATAAGGTGTTCTGGTGTTTCCCCATTTTCCCCACAAAATCTGCATTCGCCGTTGTTTCTCAGTTTCATCTTACTGAGGTGTTCGTTGAGGAGACAGTGTCCTGTTAGAAACCCCGTGACAATCCAAAGATTGTTTTTACTTAAATCAAGGAAAACTTTTGATTTTTCTCGGTCATAAGTTCTAAGGAACTTTTTCGAGTGTCCTTAGACCGTTGGAGGACACCCATTCCAAGTTACGGATGGAGTCTTCCAGATTCTTCAGTTCCGCTTTCAGTTGGTTCCCGTTTGGAAAACAGAACGGTTCTGGTCCAGTTAGTGGAGTGCTCGCTCCTTTCCTAGCTAGATCATTTGCTTTTTCATTGCCTTCTATCCCTTGGTGAGCAGGCACCCAGAGTAGGAGGACTTTATTTTCTTTGCCTAATTTGTTGAGCTTCTCTAGGCATTCTTTGACCAACTTCGAATTGATGGTTACTGAGTTGATCGCGTTAAATGGACTCTTAAGATGAATTCTTTGAGTTTTATAATTTATAAATGCGAGATTATACTTTGATATTTTTTCTTACCTGTTATATTTTCCAGCACGCACTAAAGTTGATACAATAATTTTGTATTTTTTAAGTTCGCTGTCGCGAAAGGGAACTACTTCCTTGTTTCCATCTTCATCTATGACTATATTACAAAACGGTGCTATATTCTCGTGAACAGATGCTCTGAAAAACAAACATTTGTATTTCAATTAATATCTATAATAAGATAGAATAGAGAAAATTCACTGTATATACGGTAATCGCAAAACAATTTCCGATACACGTGATCAACTTTGAGTGAAAAGCGATGGCGACAGCGCTGCCAGATTGTGATGGATTTATGAGATGAATCTTAATTTAAAATTGACAAACACCATAATATTTATTATATCATTTTTTAAAGAGTTTTCCGTTTTATTTTTAATTTAATAACTAATATTTTATTATATTACATATTGGCAAAAACTAGTCCATTATGAAGATTATTATAAGTTATTATGCGTTATTTATTTATTGATGAACATCTTACAACGCCATAAGTGGTAATAACAAGTAAGAGGGATACAAACTAATAATCACAGAATTTAATAAAAACTAACTTTGAAAGTGGTATAATATGCTTATCAATCAAACTTACTTTTCTGACTGCAGTCAAGGGTAATAAAGGATCTTTATTGTCACATTCTCGTTCAAAATAGTTAAAAAAAAACAGGGAAATTACAAGCTCTTTGTTTCGACTGTTTAAATGCTTCGGCATATTTTCAACACACAATTTAAAGAAATGCAATATAAAAACTCGAAAATTTAGATCTTAAAAGAACTGTTTGTGCTTAAAAGTACAATTTAAAAAAAATATGAAAATAGACAAAAAAAACGGGAATTACTCACAAAGATTCAACAACACGATATTATACAAAATAATGACTGACACTACTATAAATGTCAAATAATAAAGGACAATATTGCTGAACACGGCGCAATGTGACCAACATAGCGATAATAAAATTCGGTTTAAACTAATTTTTTGCAGCTTTAATCTAAATAAAATATCTGTTACAGTCATTTGCTCTATAAAGTAAAATGAAGAGCTGCTCGGTATCTTAAATTGTACAGAAAATTTAAACATTTTTGCCAAAATTTCATTTAGTCAGGTTTATAGACTTTAGTGTCAATGTCGATATGATTGATGACGTGCATCAGAAAATGTTTTGCGATTACAATATCTATACTAATATATAAAATCCTTAAGTGACTGACTCACTGATTAATCACGATCCTGCTCAAACCACTCAACGTAAGAAGCTCAATTTTGGCATACAGGTTGATTCTAGGGTTTAGAGGTTCGATAAGAAAGGATTTTTGGAAATTCCAGTTCCAAGGGGGTGAAACCACCCCTCAATTATAATATTTTTTATTTAAAAAACGGCCAAGTTTCCGAAAAAACGCTTAAACACGTGTATTTTATTTTGTTTTTTACATATTATAAGGTTTTAAGATTTTAAAAAAATGTATACAGGGTGTTTCGAAAAATCTGGTCATTGATTAATCACGATCCTGCTTAAAGCGCTTGACGTAAAAAGCTGATTTTTGGAAAACGGATTGACTTTAGGGTGTAGAGGTTCGATAAGAAGGGATTTTTCGAAACTCGAATTCTAAGGGGGTGAAAACATCCCTCAAATATTAGAATATTTTTTTATTTAAAAACCGGTGAGTTTTTTCGGAAAAACTCTTAAACACGTATATTTTATTTTGTTGCTTTACATATTATAAGATTTTTTAAAAATTTATACAGGGTGTTTCATAAAATATGACCATTGAGTAATCACGATTCTGCTTAAACTGCTTGACGTTTAAAGTTGATTTTGGCAAACACATTGACTGTGTGTGTGTGTGTGTGGGGGGGTAGAGGTTCGATAATGAGGGTTTCTATACTAATATATAAAATCCTTAAGTGACTGACTCACTGATTAATCACGATCCTGCTCAAACCACTCAACGTAAGAAGCTCAATTTTGGCATACAGGTTGATTCTAGGGTTTAGAGGTTCGATAAGAAAGGATTTTTGGAAATTCCAGTTCCAAGGGGGTGAAACCACCCCTCAATTACAATATTTTTTATTTAAAAAACGGCCAAGTTTCCGAATAAAAGTTGAATAATTGATTAACCACGATTCTGCTTAAACTGCTTAACGTAAAAAGCTTATTTTTGGCAAACGGATTTTTCGAAAGTCAAATTCCAACGAGATGGAACTATCCCTCAAATATTACCAAGTTATATAATAATATCGCCAAATTGTTTTTTCTCATGCTGACATAAATGTGAGAAAATTTTATCCAGTTTGTATGTTAATGGAAATTCTTGCTTTGCTTTATCATCACCATTACAAATGATTAATTCGACGCGAACGAAGTCGCGGGTACACGCTAATATTACTATAAAAAAGTGTCACTTACAGATCAGAATTTTCCGACATCACCCTTCTCATCTCGTTGGTCTTACAAAACTCCGCTAATCTTTCTGTCAGCATATTACATGCCGCATTGGACGGAGCACATACCATTATTTTATAGTTAGTTAGACGCTTTATCTGATAGATGGCTTCGACAAGGGTCACAGTTTTACCTAGAAATACATATATTATAACATAAACTTGAAAAACAATAATATATTTATATTAGAATACTAACCTGTACCCGGTGGACCATATACTATGTAAGGAGCACCTTTTGAGGTATTATTTAGTATATTTATCACAGCGGTTCTTTGTTCATTATTATTATATATTTGTTTGTTAAATAATCTGCAAAGGAAGAAAATAAAAAATAATAAAGTTCGCATAACGAGATTGTTTCCCATTTACTGAGGTGACGAATTTCCTATACAATTTTTCTCCCTAATTACTCAACTTAACTTATGGTTTTTTCAACGGTAAAATACGAGAGAAAAATCATTGGGTGGCTTTGATAAAAATTTACTGTGGAAAATGCCATATGAAATATAAAACCGGGAATATCTGCAAAACCGTTAAAAATTTTGAAATACTCTAAATACAAAAAATGCTCATTTTTTAATTTTTCATCTATTGAAAAAATAATATACAGGGTGTGACGTTTAAAAAAAACGAAGCAAAGTAAGTACAGATCATCTGAAGTAAATACTTCACATAGTTTTGATTTCAGGACAGTTCTTGTATTTTCAATAATTTTTTTTTATGAAAGGCTGAAAAATATATATTTTTTATTTATTGATTAATACCTCTGAAACTATCCAAATATATTTACTCATATCTTCGGATTATGTAAACTGATCTGAAAGGAAGCCAAAAAAACGCAATAATATACAGCATGTTCCATTTAAACAAATCATCCTGATCCACTCACACTTTTTTGAGCCACCCTATAGAAGTTAAAATATATTCCTGAAATACATCGTTGTATATACTTTAGGTCTGCACTTACACAAAATTCCCAAGTTTTTTTATCCTAGACCTGACCTAACCTGATCCGTGTGTCGACCGTGCGGAGCTGTTTCGTGGAGAAAAAAATTTGTGGAGAAATTTTGTCTGTGGAGAAAAAAAAAATTCGTGGAGAAAAAAAGCATTCCTATATTTTTCGTTCGACTGGTCATATAGCACTGGAAACTTTCTTATCTCTTCGATTAATTTTTCTACATTCATTTTAATATTAATAATGTTTATTATTATAATAATAATAATATACGAGTATTATATCAATTTAGTATTTAAAATATAATTAAAAAAATTGTTTACAAAATAGATTCGTACACCGCACCGTAGTGATGGGTTGTTATTTAATTATCTGTTATTTTATAACAATTATTTTGAAATAACATAACGCAACCGTTACTACTTCTAAAAAATAACAGATATAAAATAACGACACGTAGAGAACGTCCGCTCATGAAACGAAGTCGGCGCTCTGCACCACCACGAAATTCAATGCGGCTCGAAGCAATTCCAAAAAACAACTACTATGGATGGAAAATATGTTATTTCGACAACCATCGATACAGGCGGCGAGATACAACGGACAGCGGAGTGGGGAATGCGCTACGGCGGCGGCGAACGTAGCTGCATCGGTCGATGGTCGTGTTGGGCTTGCAACAGCTTAAAAATAATAGGACACAAAAGAAGCAGCTTTTCTGAAACAGATGCGGGCATAACGCCTGGCGGTCGAAATAACAGGAGTGGCAATGTAACGCTGCTGCATCGGTCGATTGTCGATGGAGGCTCGCAACGGGTAGGAGAATAACGTATAGAACATAAGCAGTCATTTTAGATACGTTGTTTTTTAACCTGTTACGAGTATAACAGGCGGCGGTCGAGATAATCGGAGTGGGAAAGTAACGCTGCTGCATCGGTCGATTGTCGATGGAGGTTCGAAACAGGTTGGAGAATAACGCATCACTTGTTTTAGATACATTGTTTTTCAACCTGTTACGAGCATAACGGGCGGAGGTCGAGATATTATGGCGCTGTATGTTTCAGTACTTAGTTATTAAGTTTCAGTTAGTTAGTTATTTTTATTAATATCTTTAAATATATACTTTCATTGTTTTTGTTACGTTTTAAAACTCTTCAAAGACAATTTTACTAAGATTTACTTTAAGAAATTGTGAATGGTGCTTAGAAATTTAATGATTAATTTATTTATTATAATAATGACAACTACCTAATAAAAAATGGAAATAACAATTTAATTAATTATTTAGTAATATGTATATTTTTCTAAAGAAATGCTTTAGAAAAAGTTTTGAATTTTTCTAAATTTTCCCAGTCTTAAATTATTACAATACAGCAGTTGCAAAGTAATAGTTTTGTATTTTTCACCACTGTCTAAGACTATTACTGTTATAGATGTTGATAAGAATAAAAACACTATGTTAAGAAAAGAACGTTTAAAAGGTAGCAAACACATTAGGTATAATATTAACTTTAAATAATGTATATTCGTTGGTTTTGCTGCGATTTAAAGCTCTTCAAAAAACAAATTTACTATTCAAAAATAATGATACAACATACAACAAACGATAGATACTAAAAATACACATATATAAAGATATATTAGTTGTCAACTATTAAAACAAGTAAAGGCTAAATTATACAGACTTTAAATTATTTGGAATCGCACTAAAAAAAATTAATCTCTTGAAATACTATAATTAGATATTACCCTTGTTTATACAGTATGTCCCCGGATTGTCTTTATAAGAGGAAATAAAGAAACCTATTATTTTTAAGCTGCTTTTTATAAATAACTATAACAGTTTCAACTCTTATCTAAAAATAACAGTTTTGCCCACCACTACCGCACCATGTCCATCAAAAAGTAAACTAAACTAGTCGGGCACGTGGCGGGCTCGGTGCGGTGACGTTGCGGTAAGGCAGGGACTACGCGGTTCTTTTACATTGTGCAATTCTCTTTTCGTGCGACGTCCAACACACGGCCGTTACACGGTGCGGATATGTGTGTGCCGACCTTAAGGGACATATCTAAAGGATCAATTTTATAAGTATGCTATGAAAATACATTTTGACAGTTAGTATGGTGCCAATAAAGTTCCAGGATGTACAAATCTGAATTTCTTGATGTGATCTCAATAAATGGGGAAGTAATTCATATGTTACATCACTTAAAATTAATTTTATACAATGAAATTGTACTTAATTCTTAATTAACTAGTTTTTGCGTACCTATAGAAATGGTGTACTAAATATATGTGTAGGGTGTAGGTAGATCATTTTAGTTAAAATTCATAGAGTGTACTTTTGAAATTATTTTTAGTTTTCTATTTAAATTAAAATTTATTATAGAAGTAACTGTGACAATGCTGCTTCAGGAAGTGGAAGGTTTCTGTGATTTTTACGATGTTTTTACTAGTGATGGGATAACTCGAGCGAAAATTCGCTCGAGTACTCGATTATTGAAATATCCGACATCGCTCGATTATGAACGAGCGATGCAAGTGAGTTACGAGCGACGAACGCAAGCGCGAATGAAATAAATCCAATTTTAATGTGACATACTCGATAAAAATCGCCGAGCGAAAAATTCGATCGCTCGATTATTGAAATCGCTTGAAACCCGAGTACTCGATTATTGAAATTAATCGTTTTTTCCCATCGCTAGTTTTTACTATCTAAAGTAAAAATTACGCCAACTTTTGATGGATTCCTTCAACTTATGTCTAACAGTAAGGCTTTGTATACAATAATTATAATAACTCTGTATACTATCTAGAAGTTAGTGACGCGTCATACTTACTCTGCTTCAGTTAAGTTATAGGCCAGCTTAGCCGGTTTGGCAGCTAACGCTTTATCCGGGAATAAAGAATTGACGTATTGATTCTCGACCACTTGCTCTACTCCAGCGTGCATTCTCTCGAAATGAATTCGGCCCAAAATGAACCGCACGTCCATCTCAAGATCGGGGTTCCTCTTGATCTGATCGATGATACTAAAAAATGACACAATACTAAAATAACTGCAAATTCAACAGCTTTTTTAGGATATGATTTAGATTCAATTTAAATAAAAAACAAAAATTTGACTCGAAATACCAAGTGTGTGGTATCAAATTATTCGCAAAAAAATGCTTTTTCCGAATATGCTAATGAGCCACCCTCGTTCCATTTGAAAAAACTGAGATATGATTAAAAATACGATTTGGATATCTTTTAACCGGTCAGGACAAGACACTAAAAACATTAGACGATCAAATCTATTTTTCCAAGGCTCCTTGATTAAATATTAGTGTTTGAAAAAAAACACAGCCATGGCACTCTAGATTGAAATTTAAAATACAATTTTTTTTTGAGCGAATATGTCAAAACTTGACATATGATATGTCATTCGATTCAGAGTGTTATTTTCTATCGAATAAAGTAAAAAAATACCGAAGGTGCCATTTAAAAATCAAATGTTGTAGTCATTTCCGATGAAACAGGAAGTAACCGAAAACAATTGAATACGTCAATCAATCAAAATTTATGTCATATACTAACATACCAAATCTCGTTCTTTTATCTTAAAAATAAAAAAGTTATAGGGGTGAGCGACTTTTGAGACGCACCCGGTATATCGGTCCCCAGAATAAGTCCTGAGAAACTAAAGTCCTTTGAGAAATCGAAAACTAGTTCCTTTCGTTCCGGGGTCGGAATAGTTCATTGGAACTAGTTCCTTCACGAACTACCCATCATGAACTACCCCAAACAACAAATATGACTAAGAAAACTATAAAAATTCTCTCCAACTTTTTATAGCTTTCTTAATGCAATATTTGTAACAATATTCACAGAAGTTTAGAAAAATAAATCAACCAAAAAAGTATAGACATTAAATTAAAATAGGACAATACTTACTCATGATCCAGAAAGAATATATCTACAGATCTATCGGCCAAACGCTGTATTATTCCCTGATAAGACGTGTGATCACCGTGAGCCTTAATTTCAATTAAATCACCTTTAACGACCGAAGGTCTCTTTTCGGCCAATCCTGGAACAAACAGTTCCAGAACATCGCCAGCTTTGTATCTTAATTTCACCTAAAATACATTTAATGTACAAAAAGTAATATTTTCGTGTGTTCTATAGGATAATAAAATTTTACTTACATTTTCCATGTTGTAACAGCTTAAACCAACGGCAACGCACATTTCCTCCAGCCACAGTAAAATGTGGAAAAATTCAGCATAATTTTCTGGCGTAACATACCCGGGTTCCAATTTCCTTCTAACAAGCAAAACAAAAATGAAAAAGGGTATAGACGGAGTAATATTGGAAATCTACCCCCGCGGCTTTTTTGACTCGCACTCAGGGGATCGATTTGGTGTCGAATCAAAATAATTCACCTAAATTTTTAGCTCTTTAACTCAAACGGTTTTCGAGATTTTCAAAAAAAACTGTTTTTTCAATTTTATTTTTATACTAAAATTCAAAATTAATTAATGATGATTTTTTTCTAATTCTTAGAAATCTAAGACATGAAAAAATGATCATATTCATGATTCTTAAACGAAAAGCCGATTTTTAGTGGAGGAAAGTAAATTAAAATTTTAATTTTTTAAACCTTTGTGAAATATGTATGTCACTCACTAAAAATCGTCAGAAAATGTCTTCTATACTCCTTTACCCTCAGCAATTTTTTAGAATTTTTTGAAGTGGTTGAACAATATGAAAAAAATAAAAAACTCATTTTTTTTCTAAAATCTTCCGTTTTAACTAACTTATATTTTTGTTTAGTTTAAAAAAGTGCGTTAGAAAATATTTTTTCATTAAAAATACATCCTTGGCTGAAATAAACATAAAAATTATTATAAAAAAATGAGTCCGAGATGATTTTAGAAAAAAAATGAGTTTTTAATTTTTTCATATGGTTCCACCACTTCAAAAAAATCTAAAAAATTCCTGTGTGTAAAGGAGTATAAAAGACATTTTCTGACAATTTTTAGTGAGTTTACATATTTCACAAAGGTTAAAAAAATGATAATATTCTTTCCTCCGCTAAAAATCGGCTTTTCGTTTAAGAATCATGATCATATTATTTTTTCATGTCTTATATTTCTAAGAATTAGAAAAAATAATCATTAATTAATTTTGAATTTTACTACAAAAATAAAAATAAAATTGAAAAAACAGTTTTTTTAGCTAAAAATTTAGGTGAATTATTTTGATTCTCGACACCAAATCGATCCCTTGAGTGCGAGTCAAAAAAGCCGCGGGGGCAGATTTCCTATATTAATCCGGCTATACGCTTTAGCTTCATTATTAAAAAAAAAGTGTGTACACTATGTGCGCATATTTGAAGTGGAACTTCTTACTAACAGCTATTAAATTGAACGATATGGAGGACATGTTTGAAAAAATGTAGTTTGAAATGTTGAAAAAGTAATAAATTAAAAATGAATAAATAATTTGATTAGCGTTCACAAAATTTGTATTAAGATGACCGTCTGTCCGTGTGAACTACCCCATTCGGGTACCTCTATCCACGTGCCGAGTTTGGTTCCAATCGACCCATAATTAAGAAAAATCCTGATGATTTCGTCCATTTAAAGGCATCGGTTCGAAACGTCGAGGGCGTCATCCTGTAGCACGACCCCAATTATGCCGAAATCGATTCACATTTTTCTTCAACATCAAATCCTTAGTCCCACATTGATGAAGATGTAAACGAAACGTCGTATCCCACTTTGCAGGGTGGGACCCACCAAATCTGGTCGCGATCGGACGACGTCAACTTTTGACGTTTCTTACGTCAAAACTAACTGTCACAGTGACACGTGTCGTACCGTAACCACCGTAATAACAAGGCCGGACAGCTGTGACGTAAAAATCACGTGACGTCACCAACTGGAGGCCTAACTCTATTTAGCAGCGTTGATAATTACCCGATAAAAGTTCAAAATCTTTTTTCACTCAGCAGATATATTTCGAAGTTTTAAAATGTCTTTTTCCGAGTTTTTAAAAATATTATAGTATATAAAAATAGTTTTAATAGAATACGGAAAAAATCATACAGTCGAAAAAAGTCCGATAGAACCAATAGAAATGTAACTATTTTGTCACATCTTTAATTAAATTTTGTTAAATAAATTAATTTTTTATACTATAAATATCTTTTTTTTTCCTAATCTCCTACGAGCTGATATAATATGACGAGCAATCTATTAAATTACTGTGAGATTATACAGAAAAGTCCACAGACTTCGAGACATAGGAAAATCAAGTTCATTTAGCGTGTCTCCAAATTTTGACAAGTTTTCAAAAATGACAGTTTTGTTTAGACTGACGTTTAATTTCACCTGACTTCTCGGTGAATGATTTCTTTTTATGGGGGTACATACAATCTAAAATTTACGGCCATGAAGAAATTCAAAACTTGGAGCAGTTAAGGCAGAAAATATTTAATGCCTTTGACACTGTCACCCCTGATATGTTATCCAATGTGAGGATGGGATTTTATGATCGTTTGGGTTATGGTTTAATGCAAAGGGGAGGCACTTTTGAACAATTTTTGTAATTTTTTAAATTTCATTATCCTGTTTTTTTACCGTTTACCCATTACCTACCTTGACGAACATGGAAAAACGAAGGTCCTTTTCAGGACCACAAATATTTTGTATTGAGAAAATTGGTAACTTTTTTTTGGATTAAAAAACAAAAGTTGTTAATATAATACCAATTTAAAAGTGTTTTAGTAGTTTTAATACACACTATGGATATAAAATTTATTATTATTATAATGTACATTATTAATACTATTGTTCATTCGAAATGGCATTAAGGCCCAATTGCAACAATGATTTAAATTTTTCTTAAAGATAAGTAGAGCTTAGAATGAGCTGTATTTATATTTACTTTAATATTCACCTTAAATGCACTTAAAGGTGACTGATACAATTTTTGAATTTGAATTGTTTTTAATGATACTAACAATTTTAGTGCAATTTTTAATAAAATTTATTTAATATTAATAGAAATCCAAGAGATTTGAAACCTCTTTTAGCGATTTATAACATTCTCAAATGAATTACAGGTGCCCTTATTTTCTATGAAAAATCACACAGCTTTTTTCATAGTCGCTGCAGTTGCTATAGCTATAAAAAACTAATTTTTTAAGGTGTGAAAATTGCGACACACGCTAAATGGACTTGATTTTTCGTATGTCTCGAAGTCTGTGGACTTTTTTGTATGCCTCGATAACATATTGGTGCAGATTATTTTCACCCAAACAAATAATAACCCAAACTATACATTGATGCGGATTGTCTATGAACTCTTTCTGAAGGTCACAGAAACCTGAACGCGTAATTCGGTGTTCTTTAGCATCTGTTGTAGTTAATTTGTGACAATACCTTGTCTAAAGAAATACCACGCTATACAAATACCATCGAATCAACATCGACATTACTATTTCTGAACAAGATATCGAAACTGTGAAGGAAGAAAAAAATTAAATTTTATGTTTAATTATTATTTATTAAAAATTCAGTGCAATTAAAGTTTATATCCATTATATACTTATAAAGTATATCAAATGCAATCAAAGTTTAGGCCTCCAGTTGATGACGTCACTAATAAGCTTTCCGGCTTTGTTATTACGGTGGTTACGGTCGTACACGGTCAAGTTGGCCATGGTCCAATCTATCGACACACCAAGTTTCATTTAAATCGGAGGATTTTTTCTAAGCTGTAGGCTGTCCTCACCACTTTTCCTCTCGCGTGTCGTGTTACGGCCTTGAATTTTTACTACCAGCGCGCGTAAAGAAGTTTCACTTCAAAAATATGTTTGGAATGTTTTTTCTTTTAACAAATTGACCATTTCAATAAGAAATTTAATTTAACTTGTCCAGATTTTCATAGTTGCATTAAAATGTCATAAAATTAAGAAAAAAATAAATACTTACTGAATTTCCTGCAAAATGCCAGTTCCAAAATCCTTCTTCAAGCCCCAAAATAATGTCCAGTAATATTTCGGCGGAATTGGCCAAGTGTCTGGCATTCGAAAACTGGAATTAATTAGGAATTTGAAAGCAATTTATAATTGAATACAGGCCTTTATTAGATACTAGTAATTTTTTTTACTAGTACAGGGTGAGTCAACGATAAAGTCCATTATCTCATTTGTTTCGAGGTTAACAAAAAAATATTAAATATAAAAGTTGTAGAGATGGTTAAGATACACATTTTAAAATTATTATACAGTATACAGGGTGCTTCAAAAAAGTGTGGCGAATATAACATATGTTTTTTTAAAGGCAACACCCTATTTTTTATTTCATTTCTAGATTCTGCATAAAATTTCATAACTTTTTTATATATAATGTTATAATTATTTTTAGTTTTCTAATTAAATTATATTAGGGAAATTACAATGACAACTAGCGGCATCGCAGTGGATTCATCTGGTCGTGAAACTGTCGAAATCTCTAGGAATTACGGTGACATTTAACGTTTTCATTTGTTTTCATTCAACTTATACAACAGCGCGCAGTTGTGAGTCTTCTGCGGTAGTTGAAAGTTTTTTGTAGTTTTTGAACAACTTTCTAATAATTATTAGTGTTTATTGCAAAGAAATATATTTAAAGTAGTTTTTAACCGAGGGGGAAACCGCTGACCTAAATTTTGTACACCAACTTCCCTTTTATGCAAAAACTTCCTCATACATCTCTGACACTTCCTTTACATCCTTTTTACTTCCTTCTACCCCTTTTAATATTTCCTTTACATCATACTTCCTCATACTTCCCCATATTTTCCCATACATCCTCAATATATCCCCGTACATCCTTAATACTTCCCCGTACTTCCTTAATACTTCCCCGTACATCCTTAATACTTCCCCGTTAAACCAAAGTGTGTAATTCAAAATATATCTCTATTAATCCACTTTAGAATCGGCTACCAAAAACAGCCAGCAGTGTTACAAAAAAAGCCCTAAATGATAGCGAAAATTTAATTGTGTACAGGCGTTCAAATAATATAACAAATAATATACAGGGTGGTCTGAATTGTATTCCGGAAACTTTGACAGCATATTCTGCAGATAAAAATAAGTAAAAAAGTTCGTATAAATGTATGCCCTAAAATGCTTAGTTAGTTTTTAATAATAATAAAACGAATACATTTAATAATAATAAAACGAATACATTCAAAAAAATATATTCTTTAATAATTACCTCGATAATTACAAAATATTATTTACATAAATACAAAAATAAACTCGAATAAAAATATGTAATGAAATCAGTTTTTTTTAACGTATTATAAATATTTTGTGTTTTGACTTTGTCGTGTCTACTAATTTTAAATAAATCGTTTTTAAGAGTCGTTGTTAAGAAAATTTGTGGGACCATAAAAAAAATATTTTTCATTGACAACTAAAGGCGCATTCTCACAACTCGTGTACTTGGCAAGTATTTTTTATTGGAATACAGGGCCTGGCGTGAGTGCGGTGTAGCTCCTATAATAAATAACTTAAAAATTCTGTATAGATGCCCGACGCACCGACCGTGTATACCCTGTATACCAATTACATATATTTGTCAAGTACACGATTCGTGAGAACGCGCCATAATGCTGGAAGTACACACTCGCCGAGGCGACCCGAAAAATTAACGATATCTACATTGTTATTGGCCAAGACCGTCTTTTTTTGTCGCGCCTCGGGTCACCTCGGCGAGTGTGGACTTCCAGCATTAGATTTTTGGCCATTTAAATGCATCCAAATCGTGGTTTGCATATTGTAAAAACTGTAATTTGTAATTTGTATTTACTAGATTATCATTAGGTCAAGATGATTTTTAAATGGAACACCCTGTATATTATTGCATTTTTGGGTTCCTTTTTAATCACTTTATATGCAGTCTAGTAAAGTGATCAAAAAGGAAGCCAAAATATGATAAAATACAGGGTGTTGCATTAAAAAAAACATCCCAATCCCGATTAATCTTTAAAATTTGATCCACCCACATCAGCTCGAAGTTTATTACAGAAGTCGTTTCGACATCATTTTCGTCAACTGATTCGTCGAAAATAAAGTTTCAAAAGTCGCGTATCGCCATCTGAAGAGAAACCTCATATTTTTAAGGCTGATTCATGGTACACCGGGCCGTACCCGAGCCGGGCACGTTCCGTAAAGTAGACACCGAGCCACGTCCGGGCCTTCAATATATGCTACACCGAGTGGACAACGGGGATCATGTCCGTGCCGATTATATTCTAGAAAACAGTGTTGCCGCAGTGGTACATTTGTACCAAATTTGATACTTTTAATTCTATTTGGTACAGTAGTACTACATTTTCAAATCCAGGATGATTTGGTACAATAATTATTTCCCACGCGCACCGAAATTGAATAGATATTTAATAATTATTGTCGTTGATATTGCATTAAACGCGCTTACCGATACCATTCGGAGAAAATCCGCATTAATTAACGACGTATTATAAACGTTGTAATGTCTATAGCGTTGCCTATATTAAATAACCCGAAGAAAAAACTTGAAAATTTACTGTTTCTAACATGCTTCTATATTTGCGTTTTTTTTAAATAAAATTTAAGTTTTCCAAGTATTGTGTGTAGTATTAGAATTACTTAGAATTCTTCAACCTATACATACTTATAATTGGGTTTTCTGAATTTCTATTTCATGTTTTTCGTCTCGATTTGTGTCTTTCTCCAGGAAGTTTTTTTATGTAGAAATTTATGAAGAAATTCACAGCGACCAAACCGGTTAAAGTCATATGCAGATGTATTTTGTTGTGCTTTAAAAAATTGTACCAAAGTGGTACATTTTTAGTTTATAATGTGGTACGCGCTAAAAGTTGGGTGCGGCAACACTGCTAGAAAACAGCCGCTATAGGCCCGTAGATGAACGAAGTATTTAGCCCGGGCGACTCATTTATGTTTGCCGCAACGGGGCCGGACCGTAGCGGATCCGAGGAAAAATGTACACCGACATTTCTCGGACGGGGCACGGACGCGTTCCGGCGAAGCTCGGCCCGTGCTCGGCTTAGCATGAATGCATAAGTATAAATAACATTTGACAATGTTTGGCCGTGCCTTCACGGTCGCACGGCCCCGGCCCGTCACGGTGTACCATGAATCAGCCTTTATTCCATATTAATTAGATTCCTGCTCTAAATATTTCCATCTTTGTAAAACCATCTTTGTATGTAAAAGTATTATCCATACAATATACTGACAAACAATAAGCTGACGCTTTGTGAGATTCCTAAAATACTCACTTTTAAAACAACACTCGAAGACAAACGCGAGAGAATTGCTATCTGGTATAGTCGAAACCACAAGGTTGCCAATTGTAAAATATATTCGAAATCCGTAGACAAAAAAATGTATTATTTAAATACCAACTTAAAGCAGTTTTAAGCTCAAGTAGCTCAAGTAGTATCTATATTATCTATTCTATATAAGGAAATCCTTCTGTTTTTCTTTTTAATTTCTAATAATTCTCTTGAACTTTACCGGACTTCCTTCATACTTCCTCAATACTTCCCCGATATTTCCTCGTACTTTCTCAAAGTTCCTAAACTTCCTCTATACTTCCCCAACTTCTTCCATACTCCCCGTACTTCGTCGCACACTTCCCCCTTTTTGTACACCAACTTCCCCAGCGGTTTCCCCCTCGTTTTTAACTATCTATGATGGTTCGCCATTGCATAGTTTGTAAAAAGGTGGACTATTCTAACCCGGAATTGATATTTCGACGGTAAGTGTCATTAGGTTTTTTTACCTTTAGCCATGCTTTCAGTAGCGTATTTAGATACTTTTAGTTATAAGTAGATTATTACAAAAATACGTATATTTTCTGATTTGCTGGCGCTTTCGATTGTGAAATTAGAGTTACCCTCAGTTAGGCCTCAGGCAAAACTAGTTATAATGGAAAATTAGTCTGAGGCAATCCCAATCAATTTTTGATAAAAAAAAACATCACGCCACTAATAGAGCCAAATGACAGAAAGATAGACGAAACTCAACCGTGTTGTCATATTTATGTACCGATCTCTTTTTAACTCTCATAAAAGTGTCAAACCATGTATGATTCTAAAAAATTGAGTTTTATGAATGGAGTGTTCTGTCTACCCATTTAGATGTCTTTGGAACGGAGTCTATGAGCTAAAACACTGGATTACTTACTTTTTCCTAGGAGGAATTACCGTACATTTTTCCCACTTCTGATGAGTGAAAGGGCTTGCTTCAAGAATTTCCTGATGCATGATTAGTTCGTCGTGGATAGCCACTATCTAAAAGTACATTCATTCATACAAGGCGTGCCAAACAGTTTGCACCAAATACAGAATTCATTTATTGATAAGAGCTTATATTTATTGTAATCGCAAAACATTTTCCGATGCACGTCATCAATCATATCGACATTGACACTAAAGTCTATAAACCTGACTAAATGACATTTTGGCAAAAATGTTTAAATTTGTTGTATAATTTAAAATACCGAGCAGCTCTTCATTTTAATATACCGTGCTGGCAACTGTTACTTTTGGGTCGGCATTTACATGTGTGGAAGTAAATCGCATAGGGATCTTATTAAGTCGGAGTGAGAGAAATGCGACGGTGTGCTGTTGCGGCGTTGCCGGTACGCCTTTCCCTATGAAGTAAAGTAAAATTACGATCGCAAACCGCTTATTTTTAAAAGACTTTTTTTACAAGACATAACTAGATAAAATCATTAGACATGTTTCTGAGCATCTGAAATGGAATTATAAGGATATCGTTAGGGTGTCATTTTTTTATAACGAGAGAACGTCAGTAATCGCGATAATTTAAAAACTCAACTTTTTAACACATAACAAGCCATAACTCAAGAACCACTTTAGATATTGAATCAGGTTGTTTTTTCCATTCAAAAATTGTAAACAATCCATCCATTTACTTTTAGAGCATAGGAATTTTCAGCAATCGTGTAATTTTTTTATTGATAAAGATTTTCACATACTGTCTACAAAGAAAATACAGCAGAAATATTAACAAAGTTCTTGAAAAAACTACAATCTATTATTTCTAATAGATTTCGAGATATCGATTTCTGAATTCAGAGTTCTAATAGCGCGACCACTATCGAACACCCACTCAATTCCACTTATTTTTACCAAAAATGCAAGTGTTTTTAGCTTGCACTTAAAAAAATTCAAGCTACAGGGAAAAATACAACGACTGGCTAATAAATAAACAAATTAAGTATCACGAGACGTAATTAAATCGTGAAGCTGAACGCATGACGTACACCTTTCCCTAGAACTTTAAGTACTGACAGAGGTATTGATTGGGTCGACCGGTCAACTGCGACAAATCTGCTGTATCCCCTTCCACGTCTCTTAGCGATGTGCACAGTTTATCGGTTTATTTCATACGTTTGGCAACGTGTTTACTGTCCTCTCTTTGTTCAGTACATTATAAACGCATTGTACTCTTCTTACATACTGAAATCTCGACCCAAGACTAACCTTTGCCAGCCCTTAGTATAGAGCAAATGATTGTAACAGATATTTTATTTAGATTAAAGCTATAAAAATTAGTTTAAACAGAATTTTATTATCGCTATGTTGGTCACATTGCGCCCTGTTCAGCAATGTTGTCCTTTTAACTATTTTGAACGAGAACATGACAATAAAGATCCTTTATTACCCTTGACTGCAGTCAGAAAAGTATACAGACCGGACCACCGTAATAGTAACATAGGCAGAACCGGACGAATTAGCGTATACCCGTCCGCCGGATAAAAAGCAGGCGAAAAAATGCGATAAAATAAAAATAGGTAGATATATGTGATAAGAATGTTTCAGAATTTGTATTTATTCGTGTTTTAATAGCCAAAACGAATACATAGATTTTCACGACAGTTCTCGTGTAAAATTTATTTTTTAAGTAAAATAATGGATGTTTACGAAGTTCGTGAGAAAATTCAAATTGTAAAATGGTATTTCCAAAACAGGTCTTTACCGTTTTAGTCAACCCGTTTAATTAGTGGATATGAAACTATTTTGTGGCCCGCTAGATCACCAGATCTTTCTCCCAATGATTTCTTTTTGAGGGGTTATGTAAAATCCAAAGTGTATGGTCATAATAGGGCTAATAATCTGGATTAGCTTCAAGTAAAAATACGAGAGGCTTTCCAAACTATTAGCCCTAATATGTTAGCCAATGTCAGACGGGGATTTTACGACCGCCTGGCTTCTGTCTAGCACAAGAAGGTGGTCTTTTTGAACACTTGTTATAACTTTTTTTTATTTAGAGTAATATTTTAGTTTTTTTTAAAATTTTATTGATGTATTTTTTAATTTTGGAAATGAGTTTTGGGTTTAGAGAATTTATTTATTTTTAGTTTTGGCTTGTAAACACACTCAAATAATAAATATTTAAGTATTTTTATTTTAAATGTTACCTTAAGTGAAGGTAACTTAAGGAACACTTAAAATAAAAATAATAAATACTCGGCACTCCTCGCGTCGCGCGTCGTATTCCTAGTCTGACACGACCGACCCGTCCAAGCACAACTGCAACTGCGTACTGCCTGACTAGCCGACAGTGAAATCTCGAGTACGAACGCAAATCGGGTAAAGGTAAATTCGTCCGGCAACTTGCTATGTTACTAGTAGCCTGGTCTTCTCTGTATAGAAGGATGTGATTAATAAGTGATAATCATTTAAGTGATTATCGCTTGGTGGCCATATTGTAATTGTCATTTTTTGAAATATTAATTCATAAGTCATTTCTGTCAGTTCCACAAAATATCCCGTCAATAATAATTATTATAATAAAAATGTTTGATAAGAAGGATATACAGGGTCCGGCAAAATCCGTATAAAACAAATAAATCAATTAATCACTAAAATATTAGTTATTAAATCTATACTAATATATAAAATCCTTAAGTGACTGATTAATCACGATCCTGCTCAAACCACTAAACGTAAGAAGCTCAATTTTGGCATACAGGTTGATTCTAGGGTGTCGAGGTTCGATAAGAAGGGATTTCTCGAAATTCCAGTTCCAAGGGGGCGAAACCACCCCTCAAATAATACAATATTTTTTTATTTAAAAACGGTTAAGTTTCCGAAAAACGCTTAACACGTATATTTTATTTTGTTTTTTTACATATTTTAAGATTTTTTAAAAATGTATACAGGGTGTTTCGAAAAATCTGGTCATTGATTAACCACGATCCTGCTTAAAGCGCTCGACGTAAAAAGCTCATTTTTGGAAAACGGGCTGAATTTAGGGTGTAGAGGTTCGATAAAAGGAATTTTCCGAAACTCGAATTCTAAGGGGGTGAAACCACCCCTGAAATATTAGAATATTTTTATTTAAAAACCGGTGAGTTTTTCGGAAAAACTCTTAAACTCGTATATTTTATTTTGTTGTTTTACATATTTTAAGATTTTTTAGAAATTTATACAGAGTGTTTCATAAAATATGACCACTGAGTAATCACGATTCTGCCTAAACTGCTTGACGTTTAAAGCTGATTTTTGACAAACGGATTGACTGTGGGGTGTAGAGGTTCGATAAGGAGGGGTTTCTTAAATCTCAAATTCCAAGAGGGTGAAAACGCCCCTCAAATATTACAATATTTGTTATTTAAAAAACGGTTAGTCTTTCGGGAAAACGCTTGGACAAGCATAATTTATTTTGTTTTTTTACATATTTTGAAATTTTTTAAAAAATCAAAAAGTTGGAAAATTGATTAACCACGATTCTGCTTAAACTGCTTGACGTAAAAAGCTTATTTTTGGCAAACGGATTTTTCGAAAGTCAAATTCCAACGAGATGAAACTACCCCTCAAATATTACCAAGTAATATAATAATATCGCCATATTGTTTTTCTCATGCTGACATAAATGTGAGAAAATTTTATCCAGTTTGTATGTTAATGGAAATTCTTGCTTTGCTTTATCATCACCATTACAAATGATTAATTCGACGCGAATTCGACGCCGGTACACGATAGTAAAAAATAAAACATAAAACTAAACTAATATAATAAATATGTTGTTTGTCAATTTTAAATTAAGATTCATCTCATAAATCTATTACAATCTGGCAGCGCTGTCGCCATTGCTTGTCACTCAAAGTTGATCACGTGCATCGGAAATTGTTTTGCGATTACCATATACATTTGCGTGCATAGAAATCGGCCCAAGGCAAAATTTTAAAGTTAACTATATATTTTTAGAATCTATTTGTCAGATTAAGAAAAAATACATGCTGTTTGAAAGACAATTTCATATTCTTTGAAAAGAGTTTAGAGATATTAATTTGTATTTTGGTTTCTTTGAATTAAAATTATTAAATTTATGCATGAAACAAATTATCGTTTTTTATTACTAAGAGGTATGTTATTATTTATTTATTTATTTATTTATGGACAATTAACTAAACTAAATTTTCAATAATGGGTATGACCCCCTCTTGCTCTAACAACATCTCTCATACGATTTGGCATAGATTCGATCAAATTTGATATTGTTTCTTGCGGGATGTAAGTCACTCTTCCTCTACTGCAACAATGAGCTCTGGGATAGAAGTTGGGGCTCTTCGTCTAGTACGAATTCTTCGTTTTAGCTCATCTCATAAATGTTCTATCGGGTTTAAGTTGGACTGCATGCTGGCCATTCCATAACCCGAAATCCGACTTCTGAAATGTAATCGTGTACGATTCTTGATGTGTGTGCCCTCGCATTATCATGCATAAATGTGAATTCGTTTCCAATGTAGTCGACGTAAGGCACCACATGAACTGCTAAAAACTCCTCAATATACCTAGCATCAGTTAAACCTCCTCTCCCGTGCCGGCGGTCGCCCCAACGGATGAAAACTGGGTCGGTTCGCGCAGTTATAGAAATTGCATCCCAGATCATGCAGAAACCACCTCCATAAGCAATCCGCTCCTCAATGCAGCATTCTGCGAATCGCTCACCTGGCCTCCGGTACACTTTTCTTCTTTGGTCGCTACCATAGAGGCATATCCTGGTCTCATCTGAGAATAAAACAGATTCCCATTGTTCTAGTGTCCAATTCAGATGTTCCAGTGCAAAACGTAGGCGTGCTTGACGATGAGCTGGGGTAAGTTTTGGACCAATTGCGGGTGTTTTGGGGGTCATGCTACTTTCCTTCAATCTTCGTCTTACTGTTCTCTGACTAATAGTCACTCCTCGTGTTTTACGGAGCTGTTGTTGCACCTGAATAGCATTAAGACGCCGATTTCTTAACATTGTTGACACAATAAAGCGGTCATCACGATCCGTTGTATAGCTCTTTCTACCAGTTCCAGGTCGACTACGAAAGGATCGAGTCTCCTCATATCGTTTGCACACTCTTCGAACCGCTCCGCGTGTCATATGTAGTTGCCGAGCTACAGATCTCTATTTAAGTCCATTTTCGATTAAAGCGATTACTTGGGCGGCTTTTTCCGGTGATGTATGCATTAATCAAACAATAAAACACAAATAATCAAAGAATAAAAGAACAATGTGAAAATTTCAATTACAAAGGTAGTAATTGCAATATTTGATAAGTTTGTTATTCTTATTGTCACCACAACACAAATACCTTTTATTTGTTTACCCGTTGGTACGCATATAAACGATAAATACTCTGAATAAATTTATGCTCATATTAAAGCATGTTAAATTGTCTTTGAAACAGCTCATATTTTTTACTTGCTATGATAAATAGATTCTAAAAGACACAGTTGAAACAAAAAATTCACAGTGGGCCGATTTCTATGCACGTAAGTTTACATATAATAATACTTACAATGCATCTAGAAATGCTAAAAGATTTCATTTTTTCTTTTTCAGTGGATTTTGTTTGAAAAGTGAAATACACCGGTATTTTGTAATTGCTCACGTGACTAGCGTCGAGATTCAAATGAACTTCAGTGGTGTATGCAGCGCCTAAAAAATATGTAATTTAAAATATTTCAGCAATCTTCTAGGAATATATCGCCACCACTACTCAAAAATACAATCATCCCAGCGACGTGCAGTGCTAATCAAAGCAGGGTAAAAAGCATATATGTATAAACAAGATTTTTGTTGTTTACCTGGTAGAAGTTCTTTCTTAAACCCTGGATTCTCGTTAGGATCGTACATGGTAAAATTCTCGGAGGGATACAAAACGTCATAGTAAACTAGTATCAAAGGATCGTCGTGTTTGGTTCTTACATTTTTAATTTTACAAGAAAATTTCAGCTGGTAATTGTGTTTCTCGAACCTTTCAGGATTCATCTGAAAAGTTAATAACCAAATTAGAATACTGTGCTTTCCACAAGTCTTTTATTAAAATTATTTTTGGATATACAAGGTGTCAAAAAATTTGGAAGTATAAGAAGAAAGTTCAAAGAGTTATACATAAAATCGAACGAAAAATAAATTTGTGCAATAGATTGGGTGGTAACCCTTTCAAACATGTAGAGCATCAGAAACTAGTTTGTAGAAGTTGATTATAACTACGATTAATATTATGCATATTATTAGATCGCACTTATTATTAGATCGAGACTGTGCAATTAGTTTTTTGATTTTCGAAAAAGTAATGACATGAAAAAATAAAATTGATTTTCAAAAAATCCTTGAAATTATTAAAACATTTTTGATGGCATCTTGGTGAACATCCCAAAGCGCAACTTTGAACTTTTTTTTGAATGTTTGCACTGTACAGGGTGAGTCAAATTCGACGCTTTTAAATGGAAACACCCTTTTCTATAGGAGATAGACAAAAACTAATATCGGAGTCTGGAGCTCAATTTTTATCAAAAACATGATGGTGAAAACCGCATATCGATATCTGTTACCGTTTCGGAGTTACGGAGTTTTTCAAAAATATGCATTTTTAACAAATCGCTTTAACTTTTTTGCTATGGAAAATTTTGTATTTTTATGAAAACATTTCCAAAGCACCTTTTTACGTAGAATTTAATGGTTTAAGTATATTTTTTTTAAAATTAATAATTTAAGAATTATCAACAGAAAATTTGTTTTTTTATATGGGACACCCTGTATATTTTTAATTTATTGAAAAGAATTTAAAATTACCTTTCCAAAAATATAACACACTTGATATTTTGCTCGATTCCTCTTCGAGATATAGAGTATATAAAAATTCGCCCGCTTTAAATAAGTAGGCTTTGAACGGCACCGGTTGTAATGATGTAAAAAAATTCTAGCTGTGAGCATCAATTAAAACGAAAATAATACTTGCTATGAGAGATGCAGAATATTATAACAATTTAAAATATATTTAACCAACAACAACACATTTAAACTATATCTAAGAACAATAAAACTAAATAGCAAACCAAGACATGAGATTTTGTTACAGGTGTTCGACATATCGACCGTCTTCTGTTATGGACAGACGGGGCAGTTTTTGAACATTTCTCGCGGAATTCATTAACTCAGTGGGGGTGAAAGATACCCTCTCATAACTGCTAAGTATTTCTAATTCTTGTCTAGATTATACGGAAGAATAAGGAAAGAATAAGTAAAATAATACAAGTATCTTTTATCATGTTGTGTAACTTTATCTTAAAAAAAAATTATCTATAATTATATTTGATTGATCTGTGATATAGATGTAATGAAAGGATGAGCCTGTATGAATATTTTTTCTGTATTCCTAGGTTTTGTTCAATAAAGTACTTTGCATCAACCTTTATTCTTCCGCAAATATATCCATAGGATTAGATCCATGGGCACTAAGTCAGGCGGCCTCGACGGCCAACGGATGGGATCTTGGTTAGCTATCCAATTATTCTTGAAATTGGCTGCAAAAATTTGCTGGTAACTTCAGCATTCAGAGGCGGTGCGTCGTCTTGCTGGAAAAATATGTTTTCGAGTTCCATTAAGGGCATATCTTCAATAAGGAGTCCAAAGCGTACTAGTTAAAACTGGCGAACTTTTAAAAATTCTGTATTTCGAAGGGGATTATAACAAAATATCAAGTGTGCTATATTTATGGAAAGGTAATTTTAAATTCTTTTCGGTTAATTAAAAATATAGAGGGTGTGCCAAATAAAAAATCAATTTTTCTGTTAATAACTCTTAAATTATTAATTTAAAAAAAATACTTAAACCATTAAATTCTACGTAAAAAGGTGCTTGGGAAATGTTTTCATAGAAATACAAAATTTTCAATAGCAAAAAAGTTACAGCGATTTGTTAAAAATGCATATTTTTGAAAAACACCCCGTAACTCCGAAACGGTAACAGATATTGATGTGCGGGTTTCACCATCATGTTTTTGATGAAAATTGAGCTCCAGACACCGATATTAGTTTTCGTCTGTCTCATATAGAAAAGGGTGTTTTAATTTAAAAGCGTCGAATTTGACCCACCCTGTACTTACCTGTAAGTAATAGTTCCTTTTGTTACGATTGTATGCCATATCATATTTAAATCCATTTAAAGGTATAACTTCTACGTCAATCTGAATTCCATGACGGTTACCCGCTAGGTGGGTTCTGAAAACAAATTTAATTATTATGATGTTTTGCGAATTCGTACAGGGTGGATCAACGATAAGGTTCATTATTTCATATGTTATTACCATAGACTTAAAATAAAATAGAGACTGAGCATCTCATTCATAAATAGCTGGAACATGTGGTCAGACAATGTCTTGTTATTGTTTTAGGTTATAACGAGTGCGACACGAGCGATAGATAGGTTGTCTCTGTCGTAACGGTCGTTCCCTAACGACTCTGACGAGAAACGCAACACTGTCTTTCGTTTCTCAAGTACACCTGAACTCTCCGTATCATAGCCGCGTAATTTTTTTATTTTAATGAAGCTATAATTAAATTAAAAATATATCGTATTTAAACTTTTTATATTTTATTAAGATTTAGAGAGGTTTTTTGTAATAAAAGTTTAGAAAAAACGATTTAAGAGTCCAAAAGGATAAAAATAATAAAACACATGTTATAGAAGAAATTTTATAATCGAAATTACGGAATTTTTTTGAAATTATTAAAAATATTAATTTTAGTCAAACATTTACAACCCCTAATATTAATCAAAACAGGATCTATTCTACAGATATAATAGAATCGGCGACAGGGAGAGAAAAAAATGTTATGATTGTTGTACTTTTTTTTTTTCTGGTTAAGTAAAGTCTTATTATATAAATTAGAGAAAACATAAATCTGTTCCATTAAAGCAAGGAAGGTGATAGGAAGTGGATAAAATGAAAACTACATTTATTTAACTCGGTACTGTCTTTATTATACCGGGTGCGTCCCAAAGTGGCTCATCTCCATAATTTTTTATTTTTTCAAATAAAAAAACAATATTTAGTATGTTAGTATATGACATAAATTAGGATTGATTGACGTATTCAATTGTTTTTGGTCACTTCCTGTTTCACCCGAAATGAATATAACTTTTAATTTTTAAATGGCACCCTCGGTATATTTCTACTTTATTCGATAGAAAATGACACTCTGAATAGAATGACATATCATATGTCAACTTTTGACATTTTCGCATATGGTTTAATTGTAATTGTAACACGCGGTTCATAACGACAATTTGACTCGAAATACCAAGTGTGTGGTATCAACATATTCATAAAAAATGCTTTTTCCATATATGCTAATGAGTCACCCTTGTTCCATTTGAATAAATTGACATATGGTTAAAAATACGATTTGTACATCTTTTAACCAGCCTAGACAAGATATGAAACCCATTAAGCTTGTCGCCCACTTGTCCGGCACAGCACGGACCGTAGCTGCTCGTCGCCTGCAGGCGACGGAGAGCTTGGTCGCCCACTTTGCCGCAGGAAACCGGCAAGCCGTCACGTCGCGGTCGTATGTTGCGAAGATCTTTTTGTTTTAGTTTACATGTAGCAGTGACAGAGTCACTATGTGTGAAAGCAGCAGTTCTGATGAAGAAGTTATTGTAGCGGCCGCATTTTTGGCAGAAGAAGAAGAAAATAAATAGAAGATAAAGAGAAAAATGTGGGTCCACCCCATTAATCAAAAGCGGACTGAACGCGGAGAGTCCCATCATTTATTTAACGATTTAATTTCCCTAATTTTTTTTCTTAGGACTGCTTTCTCGGACTTAACAATAACAACTGCCAAAATAATTGCAAAACATATATGCGATCGAAAGGCTTCCATAAGTTAATGCAGGCCAGCGCCGGCCGGCCGGCTCCGCGTACAGTTGACCGGCCCGTCCCGGCACGGACCGTCGTTTGACGGGGAGAGTCGGAGAGCTGGAATCTGTTCCGTCGACGGACTCGCCGTTCCGTGCCGTGACGGGCTAATGTGCGGTAGTCTATTCATTTGCATGGTTTTAATCCTATCCGTATTTTGACGGGCCGGAACGGGACGGGACGTGACGGCCAAGTGGGCGACAAGCTTTAGTCGATGAAAACTATTTTTCCAAGGCTCCTTGATTACAACTTAGTGTTTTTATCAATACCATGGCACCCTGGATTGAAATTTAAAATACGATTTGTTTTTAAGCGATAATGTCAAAAGTTGACATATGATATGTCATTCTATTCAGAGTGTCATTTTTATCGAATAAAGTGGCAATATACCGAGGGTGCCTTTAAAAATCAAAAGATGTAATCATTACCGATGAAACACGAAGAAACCAAAAACATCTGAATACGTCAATCAATCCTAATTTATGTCATATACCTACTACCATACAAATCTATTTTTCTATCTGAGAAAATAAAAAAGTTATAGGTGAGTCACTTTTGAGACACACCCGGTATATTAAAAAATATTGTTTCATAATGTAATATCATTTTAAAATTCTTGTATGTTATTTTAGATTCTGAAGATAATTTTAGAATAAACCGGAATATATTTTTAATAAAAACATTATTAATTACTAACAGGGTTATAATAATTATGATTTTGTTACAAAAACCTTTATATAAATGATTATGTAAGACAAAAAATTCAGATTTTACATTTTACTAAAATATTATCTAAATAAGCGCCTTTTTACAACAACGCCACTGACCCCTAATGGGTAAATTGAGAGTTGCCTACAGGTCGAAAGTCGTTTCAAGACTTAAATGGATTATTTAAGTCAAATTTCTTGCAAATTTGGCACTGGCGAACCATATTTTATAGTTCTTGAACAGAAAAAGTAAATAAAATAAACACTTAAGGACTACAAGCTAAGAAAATGCGTTAATATAGCCGGGGACATAGCGGCAACAAAGCTTTACCGCACACGTGCGACGCGTACTACAAGGGAATATATGAATGAAGAGGCGACCTCGCCTCTAATCGGTGTTGCCATATTGTAAAGAAGTTATCATTTTTAAATAGTATCCGACTTATAATTTAGTAGTATATTTAATACATCTATGGAATATTAAAACCTACTTTATTAAAATGTAGTATTAATATCTATATGTGTATAACAAGAAAAAAAATATTGATAATATTAAAGATGTGACAACATAGGCTGGATGAGGAAGGTTCGGTCGACTGTACCCAGAAGTAAACATGTGTACAAAAAAGATTGTTTGACCGCGTATAGATGTAAATAGTGTAGTCTATATTTTATTTTAAGTCTATGGTTATTACCTAATGTTATTATTTACATTTTATATACACTCAAGTGCAAAAAAACGAAACGGAAAAAAATTCCTCTAATTTAAAGTGTTTTTAATTTTCAGCTATGTTTTCATGAATTTTTTAGCCAACTGTATGTAAATATATCAACTTTAATAGTAAACTCAATTTTTTTATAAATTTTAGTATTTGGCTTATTATACTGGGTTAGTCGAAAGGTTATTTTTAATTTTAAAACACCCTGTGCAATAATTTCAGGCAGATAGCAGCCAAGGAAGTCAATAACAAAGTATTATATTATTTTTTATAATTAATTATATTTATGTTTGTATATTTGATTATTACAGTTATGTTTTTAAACGGTTTTATTTAGCTCGACCCGTACGGTATTTATTTATTTGTTTGTTTATTTGGGTCAAAATTAGAAATTGAAATTTAAGTACCTTCCTGTTGTCAGATTGATCTGAAATTTGGTACACACCTTTAGTTCCGATGACAATACAATATAGTAATATGAATAACATTGTAAATCTAAGATGGCCGCCGGTACAAAATGGCGGATTTCATATTTTTCCACAACCCCCTCAATATGGGTATCAAATGAAAGGGCTACACAAGTAGAATACTGTGATTATGACAAAATTTAAAATCCAAGATGGACGTCGTTACAAAATGGCGTATTAGGTGAGGGCATGAGCAGTCGTGTCCAGAACAGTTGTGTCCAAGATTGTGTGACGTTAGAAGGACAGATAAAAAAAATAGGTGATTAGATGTATCTACGTAGTTAGCGGTAGCTTTACCACCCAAGTTAAGGTAATAGGTTAAAATGTGCTGAGGACTGTATGGCATTAGGGTGGCTAAAAATGTAATGTCGCAAGCGTTTCCCCTCAAGATTGGGCGCCTCTTGTTGTATATTATAGCTTTGCCCCTCTACTGGACCTCTGGGGTCGACCGTTAAAATGTCCATTACTCGTGGGAACAACATGGAAACAATAAATAAAAACACAAACAAAAATAAAAACGAAACTGCTACACAACGAAAAAGAAGGCTCGAAAAGGCGAAAGAAAAGTATAGAACGAAACGTGCAAAAGAAAGTGAAAATGAAACTTATAGTCGACTACAGAAACGAAGAGAACGGTTAGCAACAGAAACACCTGAGCAACATGATGCCAGGTTAATAGCACAACGTGAGAGACAAAGGCAGCTGGTAGAGTCAGAAACACCTGAGCGTCATGAGTCCAGGCTAGCATCACAACGTGACAGACAGAGAGAGTTGTTAGCGGCAGAAACACCTGAGCGTCATGAGTCTAGGCTGGCATCACAACGTGACAGACAGAGAGAGTTGTTAGCGTCAGAAACACCTGAGCGTCATGAGTCTAGGCTAGCATCAGAACGCGACAGACAAAGAGAGCTAATAACATCAGAAACACCTTGTATAATAAAATCAATCAATGTTAAAATAAATATAAATAATAAAATATTAACAAATAGGTATTTTAAATATAATTAATTATTATAATATATATAATTAATTGTTATATATATTAATTTATATAATAATGAATTAAATAGAATGAGGAATATTCGGTAGGCATTTCCGTTAAATACTAAAAACTAGAAAATAAAAAATCGGTAAAAAAACTTTTAAGTTAAACGGTTTTATCTTATGTGCACTGAAAACTAGAAAATAATAATAACAATTAGGTATTTTGAACTTCTAGTTCAGAAATATTTTAGTACTAGGCAGAATAGCTTTTAGGCATATTAGACTAAAATAAAAACGTGGGGCCCATTAACTATTGCTGTAATACTTTCTTCTATACTAAGTGTGGATTGCATCGACTTACTATAATCGTAACTGGAGATTTTGACAATCAATAACCAGCCGTGGCGGCTTCACCAGCGAACG